CCGGTCACCGGTGACCCCCACGGCAGCCAACGTGTTAAGCTGATCGAAGAAAGAATGAACTTACTATTTAGTTTCTATTTCGTCCAACTAACGCAGACAATTTCTATTTTTCATAAATAATCCGCAGTCTAATCGCGAAACACGCAATGCCTGCAACATTTCTCACATTCTTGGCGAAACCGTGGAAAATCGCGGCGCGAGAGGTGAGGGCGGGGGACGACGATCTACGGTCGATCGGATCGCGCGATTTACGGGCCACTCGACGCGATTATACGCCGCGTCTGAGCAGGTGTTCAAGGCTTTTTTCTGTTTGCACGGTAGCGGGGAACGCCGCGGGTGCGGAGAGATTTGCGGCCGGGGCCCCGGGCCCCTGGAACCGGTCCTTCGAGGACGTCCCTGCTCTTATGCGGAGTGTCGACTTGGCGATTTAGCTTCTGATCAGTCTCGCTGCTTCACCGACACAGTTTCCCCGTTGGTCGTTCTTCTTTTCTGATACCGACTAGCTGCCAATTAATTCGAGCTGCTTTTGAAAAAAGGTAATGACAAGGGATCGATTAAGTGGAATTACGTCGGGATTGCAAAGTGGAGATCGAGTTGGTCGTGGTCGGTTTGTCTCGTGTCCGAGGCTATTGAGGAGTTTTACAGAGTTCGATGAAGTTTAAGAAAATGTTTATACGGATCCACAAATTTATAATAAATTAGTCAGATCTGTAAATTTTGGCTGTAGACATTTATCGAATGTTGACTTCGTTGGATGATTCGTTTATTTGTGAATTACTTGAAATATTTATTTAGTTGCCGCATAAAATTCTTTACGTTGCATAATAAATTAGAGACTTTCTTCTCGTTACTAGATCGTGCGTCTTTATGCAAAATAAAAATATCTTGCATCAATAATAAGAAACAGGTGTTCGAGTAAAATCCTATTTCTTTTTTTTTTGACAGTTTGGGAAGAGTTGGAAATAATTCAATCGTGTTGTATTTTAACATTTTCAGTGCACTGTATTTTATGATCCATTTCTATACCATAAATTCCTAAAATCCGCGATCTACTTGCTATCGATGTAAGCTGTTACGTGATAATGAAAATCATAAGATTAACTTCATCCTCTGTTTAATAAATTTCCAGCTAGTTAACAATGCGCCTATTTTATATTTGACGAAATTAGTCTCTCAGTTGACCAATTAAATTCTTCACTTATATATCGGTTTCGATTAAATAGGCTATGAAAAATGTACTATTGCATTCATTGTCACTGATTAAGCGATTAGTCGGACTACTTTTGTTCATACCTAAACATACCTAACAATTAATCTAGCAGGATTTATATTAATCAGAATTATATTATACTAATCAGAATTCTAATGAAGCAGCGAAAACGTTTCTTGAGATAAAAATAGTATGAATTTCCAGCAACACGTTCTAAATAGTCTTAAATAGACTGCGGATTTTATAAAAACGCTATGTAAATGAAATAGAATACACACACACACACCGTGAAGATATTATAAGATTTTGGGATATTATGAGAGTATTTCTAACTAACTGAAATAATTTTTATAGTGCGTAAAGATTCGCCATCTAATTGGAAATGCGCAAATATACTGCAGTCTAATTACAAATGCACTAATTTCTGCACTCTAATTAGAAATGTACAAATACACTGCAGTCTAAGCGCAAAAATGTGTAAATATCTGTAGTCTAATTAGAAATACCCAAATAATAATGACAATCTCAGAGCAACAGTGGCATCAACGTACGCGACGAAGTTGTCCGAAGCTATACAAACACATCAAAGTAACGTAACTTTAAAGAGTCATGCTCACGTGGACGCGTAGCATAACGTCGCGGATCGTTCGAGCTCGTCAGAGGTTCTGACACCGTGTGAACGGGTTTCCTTCGTCCCACTTTCTTTGGAATTTCCCGACCGAGTGGATTGGCGACGCGAATCGATCGTCGTTTTAACGCGTTGCCAGCGAAAATCTGCCCGAATGTTTTCTTTTCTCAGGAAACGATCATCTTTCCGAGTCCAAGTTTGATCTAAATCTTCGCTTATTCCCTCTTTAAGGTCACAGTGTGATAATTTTGTAACATCAAAGTAGAGTTGCTCGAAATTATTTTACATTTTGCATTGTCATTTTGTGCGTTGTGAATTTAACGTAAATTTCTGCTTGTAAATGATCAATTACAATGTTTCCAATGTCTCAGGTGTATTTTTCATAATACATGGATTCAGACTTGAGCGAATTTTATTTGAAAGGACACCAGGAAATAACTATTTGAAAAACAACTTATTTCGAATCGTTATGTAATACTATTATTTGGAAACGAAAATAATGTCGTTCCGTTTGAGATAATAGCAATTCCATATAATGAATTTATTATTTCGTAAGTTGAATTATTTCGATGAATGATAGAAATAATAAGTTTTAAATAGCGATATTAAATATTAAATGTAATAAATAATTATTTCTCACATAATAATCTCAAATAATTATTTCACAATAATCTCAAATAATTATTTCACGAAAATCTGAAATAATTATTTCACGATGATCTGAAATAATGATTTCAAATAACCATCTCAAATAATTCTGAAATGAAATAGCATGTGATTTAGGATAATGTTTAAAATATCGTGATTTCAAAAGTGATCGTAGGCACGGAAATAATTGTGAAATAAAATAACATGTTACTTAAAATAATATTACAAATACATTTTGACGCACAGCTCGTTCGATCACGATCTTAACCGGGAAACTTTGTGCTCATTGAACGGCAAATAACACACATCTTCAAAGTCGGCGTTTCAATTATATTGTCCATAAAGTGCGGGCCCGTGTTTATTTTTCGAGAGCAAGAGACTGCAATTTTTACCAGCTGAAATTGGAATAGCCTCGCACTAGTTACATTAGAACCCGTTCAGCAGCGAGTTTAATGTCGAAACTTCGCATGCACGGGATGAGATAATGCACGATTTCGAGACTGCGTTCCGATATTATTTTTCGCCAGCGGAATTCGTTGCCGTGAGAACAAACATATCGAAGATTAATTATATCGCATAAAAATATAAACGCGCGCGCGAGGCGGTGTCCCAATTTTTAACAAATTCATCGGGGGCAAATAGTTCCGCGAGAAGAAACGCAAGACCAACGGTGGGAAATTAATTATTTGAAACATCCGTGAGTCAGCGTTTCGATGTTATTTCGAACAAATTCAATGGCGACTCTTGGCCAAAAGAAACAGAGGACCGACAAAGATTAATTATTAAAAATATTCCCGCGCGCGCGAGTCAGCGCGTTCAATTTTATTTCTGTCCAATCGAATAGCGACTCTTCGCTGAGAGCACTGGATGACTGGAAGCCGTGGATTAATTATTGAAAATACATCGTTGATAAAACACGGACAAGAAGAGAGAGAGAGAGAGAGAGAGAGAGAGAGAGAGTAGGACAGAACGTTTATTTTTATTTGGTCGTTAAGCTGATCGCGGAGCATAGCCGGAAGAAAATACGTTTCCGTTGTTCGGTCTCTTCGTTGGGTTCCTCTGCTTACAACACACGTTCGACAGTGTAATTAGCGAAATATAGTAAGACTGCGGAGCGTGGATAATGAAATACAAACAGAGAGAACGAACAACGATAAAGAGAAGGAGGGGGGAGGGGGGGATAAAGAGGGAGGGGAACGAACTGGCAACATTTCAGACGTAAAATTCGCCGGGTCGGAAATGAATTTATGGGAAGAATGCCGCGAGAAAGTGGATTGCCCGCAATGCAGCATTTATCCGGAGAATTTCAAAGTGGCTCCCTCAACGCGTTGAAAGGCCGAAAACTATTCCAATTGCTCCCGGCGCCGGCGAAAGATCGCGGAGCAACGCCGATTTCGAGGGCCACAGCCGCCGAAAACAGTCTTTTATTCCATCCGAGCACACCGGGGATCCCCCCGGTTTCACTTTCTCAAAATGTCTGCTCGCGGCAAATGTCATTCGGCACGCGCCTTGGCCACGGAAAGCTCCGAGGCGTCCTCTGTCGCGTCACCGTGCAGTATGCATAACCGCTCAAAATCGCAAAATATTTTACGGGACACGTCGCCGTGGCAGTGCATCGAAACAACCTGGCTTTTATATTTCTTCGGCCGAAATATCGAGCTCTGCAGTTTTTATGCGACGTTTTCGGCTCGCGGGTTTTCACATGGCTTTGATCTATCTATTTTTTGACCTATGACCCTTATATCCTTCCAATATTTTTGTTCTTCGATGGCGTTATTTCGTTTGCACTACTCGAAGCCGATCATGGTAGGGACAAGTGTTCAATGCACTATGATAAGATGCGCAATAGATTCGTGATTTATTTCCCGAGGACGATTTTTGGTTTGCAATTTTCTCTGCAAACTCTAATCGTTTATAGTCATTAGAATATCTCCAATATAATACAATAAACTGCGAAGTCACAATGCAATTCTGTTTCATAATATAATTTGATTAAACAAGACATAATTTCCTTTATGATAGACGAACTACCAATTTCGCTTCACTCCGATTCACTTTCGTTAATTGTTTTCTCAATCAGCAAAGCATTACAAAGTTTGCAGAAAATTGAACACATTCGTTGAAACATCCTTCTGTTCTAAAACAGTTTGCTGAAACGAAAGTCTTCCCTATTCCATTCGTTGCGACGTGCAAATGGATAAATGTACGTAGCTTATGAATATTTACGCAAATTCTTGTTTCGTGCCGACGTTAAAGAACAGTTCTATTTCTTACGAACTATTTCTTTAAAGCTTTCTTAGCCAGGAAAAGCAGCGTAAAATTGTTCCACAGTTTAATCAATTCTTATTATACTGCTTTTCGAACGAACGCGCAATGAAGGAAGAGCTTTTAGGAAAAACGGGCGAACGAAATATCGCTGGTAATTTTTCGTTTCGCAATGACCGGCCAGCGAAAATAGGAATTTGCGTAAACGTTCCCGGTCCGGATAGATGTGTGGCGCAAGCATAAATTTACCTGTATATCGGCGTGTCTGCGTCCCCCTTGTACCAAATAACTAGTTGTAGCTTGTCTCCAGAGACCGGCGGTTCCACGTCGCACGGTAACTGAGCAACTCCACCTGCCACTGCCTCCGCAGCTATCATTGTCGCTGTAATGACAAAGACAAGCCGTGAGTCAGGTATATCATGTAATAAGAAAACGACGCGCGACGGTGACCGGAATTTGTATCAAGCATTCCGGCGTAAACGGTCCCGCGGAACGCCATTCGCACGTTTTCATGCGAGACAGGATGCGGTGCTCACCGTACTCTAGAACGTCGACGTCGCCGCGAAATTATCAAGTTCTCAGTTCTACCATGCACCATCGTAATCATTTCCATCGATCGAGAGCTTGCAACCGCATCCTTGTGTGATAATCATCACCCAAGTCGAGCAAAACAAGCGTCAAAACTTAAGTGATTTTGCATAATGAAGATTGCGTGAGTGCAGTTTCTTGTATCGTTGTAATTTTTTCGATTAGAGCGACTTCGCCTTATCTTAGTTCTCATTAATCAATATTCGTAGTTGCTTCTCAATGGATAATGATTATCTCCTGCGAAATATGCACTGATTCGGAGAGAAATAAAATGTATATATATATACATTTGTACAAATGTAAAATGTATATATATTATAAATGTGTATATAAAAAAATGTATATATGGCTCACTCTAGTAGCTCACTAGCTCTCCGTTTGAATTAAATAATCATCTTCCTATGCGTTGTTTTATACTTCTTTTGTCTTCACATCGATTTACAAAAGTAAGGGTGTCCCAAAAATGTCTCGCAACCCGAAAGTGGCAGGTTTCTCAGGCCATTCGAAGCAACTTTTTTCTTTACAAAAATTTTCTCTGAGGCACCGTTAACGAGTTATTAACGAAAAACAGTGATCAATGAGAGGCGAGCTCAGCTGGCGCGAGGCGATCGAGCCAATCAGCAGAACTGGGTTTCGACCGCTCGACCGTTGGCGCCGTTGGCTCGGCCGCCTCGCGCCAGCTAAGCTGGGATTCGACCGCTCGACCGCTGGCGCCGTTGGCTCGGCCGCCTCGCACCAGCTGAGCTGGGATTCGACTCTCTGCTCTCTCTCACACTGTTTTTATATATATATATATTTTTTATTTCTCTCTGATTCAATGCATATTTCGCAGGAGATAATCATTATCTACTGAGAATCATATATATACAGGGTGTCCCAAAATTATTGTGGCTTCGTTTACGGGTTATTAACGAAAAACCAATGAGAGGCGGGATCAGCTGGCGCGTAGCGGCCGAGCCAATGAACGGAACTGGGCTTTGTGCGCTCGTTGGCTCAGCCGCCTCGCGCTAGCCGAGCTCACTTCTCATTGGTTAGTATTTTTCTTTAATAACTCGCTAACGATGCCTCGGAGAACATTTTTGTAAAGGAGAAAGTTACTTCAAATGATCGTAGGAACCCCATATTTCCGGAAATACCATAATTTTAGGACACCCTGTATATATATATATATATATATATATATATATATATATATATATATTTGTATATCTTAA